TTTAATATTTGTTTATAATAAAAATATTTCTTAAACGATGTTGAGGAGGAGAGTGGAGGTAGATGGAGTGATAGGTTTGGAGTGGAGGTAGATGGAGTGGTAGGTGGGGGGAATGCAGAGGGAGTGGATGGTGGGGAGAAGACAGAGGGAGTGGATGGTGGGAAGGGAGAGGTACTTCATCCCTTTAGCAGATCTTTCACGTATATCACAGATTTTCACTTGTGTTTGATAGGCCATCCTAAGAGATGGTAATTTCCACGTGCTAGTAACTCCAACTCTGCTGGAAGGAAGCGTTTGAAGGTATCGTAGCTGGTGAACCCACAGCTACGTGCTGGTCGATGTCCTCATCCACCTACTGAAGTTCCTGGGCTCAGGCTGACAGATTTCACTGCCCCGTGTAGCCCATCCATCCTCTGTGGTGCAATGTGACAGTGTAGCCACTGTCACAGAACAGTGTAGCCGCACACTGCGGGTGTTCCAAACACAAGTTGACAGACCTCTTGTTATTTTCTCGAATCTTTAAACTTTCTGTTTTACTGTGATTGTCTTCTGTTTAACAAGTATTTCCGTATTCAGTGGAGTACCTTTATTTTCACCCCGACCTGTGTCGTTATTTTATGAACCGTCAAATGCCTTCTGGCAGTCTAAGAAAATACTTTCCCACTCTGCTATGTCCTGCCTGAAGAAACGATAGTCTGTCTCGGGGTTATATTCTCCTTGACTTCAAATGCCATATTTGAAATGGCTATTGACTGTGACACCTGTCGAACTCCAATTCTGGAAAATATCTGTGCAATATTGGCTGCCTTCCAGCTGTCTGATATACCTCCTGTCTTCACTGTCTGTCTTACAGTTATATGGTTTATCTCCTGTCAAGAGTGACTTATTTTGTGTGGTAAAGTTGCATTAGTTTCTTATATTAGTTTCCAAACTAATCTTTTTATCTTGATTCATGTATTACCGTTGCTACATCCAACTCTTTTAGTAGTCCTGGAATAAATAACAAAAAAAAAAGGCACAATACCGTGACTGGAACGATTCACAAATAACCCGCACATAGAAGAGAGGAGCTTACGACGACGTTGAGGAGGAGCCAGTCAAATACAAAGAAAGGGGAGCACTGCAAGGGAGCTAGGTGCACACAAGGGAGCTAGGTGCCCACAAGGGAGCTAGGTGCCCACAGAGGGAGAGCAAGTACACAGAGGTGGGGAAGAAAAGGAAGTGATGAAATAAATAATGAAGCAACAGAAACACGAGACAGAAGAAAGACAACCCAGAGGAGAAAAAATGAAAGAGGAAAGGGGAAGAGGGAGAAGAAGAAAAAAGGAGGACTCAGGTTAAGTCACGGGTGTTCTGAAGTTTGGAGCATTTTACAATATAGTGGGAGAGGAAGGCATCTACAGAGAGGAAGCCAGGACTAAGATTCATACAAGGAAAGTTGTGTATTAGAGACGATTCAATTAGACGGCGACTGTTAGAGTTGGAAGTAGGGAAGACAGTTTTAGCAGAAGACCAGTCAATAGGATGGCTGTGATCTCTGACGTGACAGAACAGAGCATTGTTAGTGCCGGCAAGCCTAACACTATTTTTGTGCTCCCTAAGTCTGTTTCTCCAAAGTACTGAAGAGGACAGGAGGAGCAAAAAATAGAGTAGACACCAGGAACATCTGTAGAGGGAGGAGAGGTATGAACGAAATTAGTGGGAAGAGTGTTAGTCTGGCGGAAAGTAAGCTTGATGTCTAAGGGACGGAGAGAATTGTTGAGATTAGAAAGACCGGAAATGTAGGGAAGGCAGAGGACAGAAGAGTTCCCAGGAGTAGAGAGTTTGGGAGAGAAGAAATTACGTTTAGCACGTTAGAAGGCAGAGTCTATGAAATGGGAAGGGTAGCCAAGACGGGAAAACGAATTATGAAGAGTGGAAATTTCTGCTGGAAGGAACTGAGGATCACCGATGCGGAGGGCACGGAGAAAGAGAGAGATAAGAACACTTTTCTTGACAGGGGAAGCATGATAGGAAAAGTAGTGAATGTACATGCCACTGTGCATAGGTTTGCGGGAAATGGAAAGGAAAAACCTGTATCTGAGCGGTGGACATGAACATCAAGGAAAGGAAGCAAGGAATTAGATTCCCATTAAGCTTTAAACTTAATGGAAGGGGCAAGACTATTAAGAGCTTCAAGAAAAGGTTGGAAGAGACTGGAGTCATGATGCCACAGAGCAAAGATGTCATCCACAGCGGAGCCAGAGTGAAGGGCGCACATCGATGGTTATTTGTGTTATTTGTGTATAGTCCTGGAACTTATTAACTTGTTCCATATTTTCCAGAACTTCGGTGCCAGTTCTTTTCTGTACCAGTACTGATAGTTTCTACTCAGATTTGAAAAGTTATTAAACCATCTGTCCACTCGGTTTACAATTATCTGTGGCACGGTTCTCACTTTGTCTATTCGTCAGTTCTTTTATGACCAACTTTTTTCTTAATGTGGCTGTGGAATAGTTTGTGTTGGGTCTTTGTCCTCTTTCTCCGTCAATTTCAACCGCTTTCCACTTTACATTTCTATACATGCTGGCATCTACCACCATACTGTGAAATATTCTAATCCTCAGAACACACGTAACTAAAGCTGACCTTGTCTCTCCCCTCCCTTCCCACTGCCTTTAACTTCTATAATATTTTGATTCGCCCTTCTGTCTCCCTTTTTCCCCTATATTTTGATTTTATTTCTGGCTCTCACAATGGGAGCGTTCACCTGCGACATAATTCTCCAAGACTGATTAAAAACGTCCTCATTTTTCATTCCCAATTTGTGGGTTTGTTGTGATTGGTTCCAGTCACGGTAATGTGCCTTTTGATTCATCGTGGGTAACCTTTGTACTTTTTGCTTTCATCTCTGTGGGAGCTACTGTCAGCCGCATGTCATGGTCTCTTGGTAATGCCATCCATCAAGGAGTGTTGCGTCACTTTCTACATCAGCGTCTCCTGACTGGACTTCTCATTTCTTCATTGTTGTCGTTCAGAAACTGTAGCTGAATTTGACCACATATTCGCCTTATCTACATGTTTACCTGCGCTTGATTAAACTTCCGTAATTAAACCTAACTATTTAACAATTTCCAGGAGCTGGATGACCTCTACGAGCTAGAACTTTCCCATAACGATGAAACAGCAACAACAACGACAACAACAACAACTACTACTACTACCACTAGTTATAGTTGAGGAATACTGGAGAGGTTTCACCACAGCTTCCCTTAGTCACTGCCACCACCATATCTTCCTTCTCCAACACCATAGCTTCCCTCCACTACTGTCAACAACACTGCTACCGTTGCATACATCACTGTCAACATTACAACACCCTTACTATTAGCACAGGTTAGTTAGTCACTGTCACGGGGTATATACATCAACAGGTGTGTAATCTCAGTATATTCAATCATATATACACGAATAACACCTGCACAGTCCCACATGGGATTATAACACGTATTGATCTGGTCTCGTATTTTACGAATTGTAGATCCTTCCTAATTATCGTTTAACTATACATTTTTATGCAATTATTCCTTAAAGGTTTCTTGTGTTTATGTCGTAAACAAAGGGAGATGTTTGTGTTCGTGACTATCACACTCCGTTTATGTAAAACTATCTGATTACATATAGGTTTTTGCAAACAATTATCATTTGTCTTAATGACACAATGTTTCTCAGGGGAGCAATGACCACAAGAGTCTCAGGGAGACATGGTCACAACGTGCAAGATACTCATTGATAACAATGAGGTAGGTGAGTACACAAAGCCTTCAGTAGACTAGGTCAAATACACAACAGATGACGCATTGCGTGTGGTGGTTCTACTATTATGCGCTGTTATACCTCTTAATTGTGCAACGGAGTAAAACGTGCGTTTCCTGCAACCCCTTGTACTCACCTAATTGCTGTTACAAGGGTCGATTCATAGCTACTGGCCCTGTGTGTGTGTACTCACTAATTGTGTTTGCAGGGGTCGAGTGTGTGTGTGTGTGTTATATATGTTATATATGTTATATATGTGTGTTATATATGTTATATAGTGGCTTCACTATATAACATAATTAATGAAAAACACGAGGTCCCGTATAAAAGCAATATTTACAGATTTTATAATTATCGTGAAATGTATCTCGTTATATTTTTATCTTTGTCTATATCCTTGTACTGGTGGAAGAGTTAGACAGGTTGTGGCATATTATTGTACTGATAAACTATCTGGCTAGTTCTTGGGGCACCTCACTTGTTAGCCTTGCCCAGTCCTAGGGATACCTCACTCGTTGCTCGTTCTCTGATAACTCACGTCTCATCTCTTGGTTCTGTTTATTCACTATTAAAGGGGTGAAGGGGGTGCAGGGGGACGCAAGACACATCCACCAATATATTATATATATATATATATTATATATATATATATATATATATATATATATATATATATTGGTGGATGGAATGAATTGGCTCTAGGACCTTTCGTCCTGTCTCCCGTCCTTCGTCAGGAGCTATGTACTGTTGCAGTACTCTAGTGGAGTGGAAAAACAGATTTAAGAAGCAAGTTTCTCGTTTAGGTCTTTACAACAGAGGACCAACAGTTATAATTCACTGGTATAATCCCACGAGAGCAAGCATCCTACAAATCAATAAATTAATTCTAAAGTCTCCTCCTGTATCATACATGTCCAAAAAACGTGATGTAAACTATCTACGTAGCTAACGTCTACAGTTTTCTCCCACCATAATTGTATACGTATATTAAAAAATATAACAATGTACAGTATTCGTAAGTGCAGATTATACATCTAATCTAAAATAAGTCATAATACCGTGACTGGAATAATCTACGATCAACATTTTGATGAAACTAGACGACGTTTCGGTCTGTCGTAGACCAAAACGTAAACGTGGTGGATTTTCAATTTGTTGATTAGCTTGAAAGCTAAATTATTGTTATAAAAAAAATCGGTACTCACAAGGGCATATTAAGGACGGTGTCTGAGCGGCTGTGTCGTCCAGCAGGGGCCGGGGCTGAGTCCTTGGCTGGTCTCTGACTGGTCTTACCAGTGTCCTTGTAAGCAGTTGGGGCGGTGTCTGATGGCTGGAGGGTGGAGGCTGGGACCTCCAGTAGGCGGGATGACTCTGATACCTAGTGGAGATGGAGAGGAAGTGATGGTGAGAGAATCTTAGTGTTGGGGAGAGAAATGGAAAGGCAAAATTGGGTGAGGGGTGACTAGACGAGTCGGTGGAAACGAGACAGAAAGGGGGAAGGGGAGAGAGAGAGCGAGATAGTATCCTTCTAATTTTATATATAAAAAAAAAATGGTTTACAAATGGAGATTTTACTCTCCTTCCAAAATACAACAACTGTCCTGTTGTAAGATTTACAACCCTCCCTTCACTACTCCCTTTACCTCTCAATCCACTCCTTCCACCCCTCCCTCTGACTCTCCTAGCTCACGCCAGCAAAGTGTCGCGTGTTGCCCGCTTTCCTTTAACGGACGTTGTTAGTCATTAAAGCAATATAAAGAGGGAGTCTCCAGAACTGCTACATAATTGATGACCATTGTTACAGAGCAAGAGGCAACATTTTGGGAAGGTGTATACCTAGAGTTTCGGGAATCAGCGCCCCTGCGGCCCGATCTGTGACCAGGCTTCGTTTAAGGGAGGTGACGAATAGCACTTAATAGAAGTTAAGAATACTCATTCAGGAGGAGGTTCTTAAGGGTAAATGAAAGAATCCTAAGGGGAGAGAGTATACTTGAAGAAGTGAAGATGCCTTTAAGAGAAATGAGAGTAAACCCTACACGATATAAATGGGTAATTCTCAGGGAATATCAGAGCAGAAGAGAAAAATTTCTCTTTTCCACAGGTATTTACAGGTTCATCAGATAGAATTGATGGAACTCACGAAAATGCTACAATCAACTCCATATTCATTAAAGAATGCGGAGACTCTTGAGCAGGCAGAGACCACTAGAGAAGTTTTTCGTCCATTCTTGTGAATATTCGTGAACTGTTGAGTTCGTATAATACTGAGGAGAAACAATAACACTGGATATCCCATCCCATATGAAGGGCTCTTGATCCAAATAATTGAAGCTACTCCTCACCTTCAGTGGATCAAAACTGATTGTCTCCCATTCCCCAGACGACGTTTGAACCACTATAGGCTTAGCTTCCCCATTAATATAATAATAATAATTAATAATAACACTGATTTCTACTGAGAGAGAGAGAGAGAGAGAGAGAGAGAGAGAGAGAGAGAGAGAGAGAGAGAGAGAGAGAGAGAGAGAGAGAGAGAGAGAGAGAGAATATAGCTGACAAGTTGGTTAAAATAAATACAAATGCACAGTCAGAATTTTTATTGAGACTACGGTTCTCCTATGTAACGAAAGACACATCGTCTCCATAAAAGTTCTGTTCTGCATTCGTTTTTTCAACCTACTGAGAGTTCTATTTTGACTTACCTCATCTCTTCGCTTCCTGCTCGGGGCGTTCTGATATAGTCTACTGAATACATCGTTAGCGGCGGCCTGCTGCTGTTGCTGCAGCTGTTGTTGTTGTTGCTGTTGCAGGCGTCGCTGAGACTCTGGCACAGCAGCCCTGGTGGTTGCACTGGACCCACCGCCATCCCTGGCGGGAGCCTTTGGCGGGACTGACTTGGGCTTGGGCTTAATCTCAGGCTTTCTGGCGACGACAGCGGTGTGTTCGGGCCGCCGGTTACTGTGTAATCGGTCGAATACATCGCCGATATTCTGTTTCTGTTGGGATGTGGCCAGAGGGGTGGTAGCTGGCCCCCCCGGCGCTGGCTCAAGATATCGTTCGTGAAATTGATCTCTCTCTTTAGCAGTGTAACTTCTGCTGGCGGGGACGCCTCCCATCCGATTGGCAGTGCTTACTGGGTAGTTCGTGCTTGCCGGGTAGCTGGTATTCGATGGGTAATTTGTGCTTGATGGATAGTTGCTGTAACTGGTGCCGCCTCCTGGCCCGTACGTGGCGCTGTTGTACGTGCTGCTTCCGGTAGTGTAGTGCCCACTGTTCCCATGGTAGGCATTACTCCCAGTACCACTGTGACCACTGTTAACAGCACCATGATGACCTGTAGTCCCTGTGCTGAGATGGCTGCTGACACCAATTCCATGGCCTCCATCGTCGTTGTGGCCGGCGTGAGCAGCTTGGTACTCTGAAGTAAGAGACTCCAGGTTCTTGGGGACGAGTCCGCTGGCAATGATGATAGGCGGGCTGTCTCTGTACTCCTCATGTATCCTCTCCTTCAACGAGGGGCGCAGTTCATCTTTCCTCTGGGTGGGTCTAGGATCCGTCTTCTTCAGAATGCTGTGTCGAGGCTGTTGGTTCTTCATTCGGACCGTCTGTGCCCCGCGGCTCTCCTTGACCTTTGATTTCCAGTTGTAGAGGGAGCTGTCGTCGTAGTCATCGTCGTTGAGATCTTGTGCATCTATCTTACTAAGGGAGCCACGACGCTTCAGGGTCGGTCTAGAGGGTTCCCTCGGAAGGTAGTCTTCGTATTCCCTGGGCTCCCGGGAGTAAGGATCACCACCGGACTTCACCACTAATGGCGGCTGGGCTTTCTGCCAGAGGCTCCTCGGAGTGGAAAACCGATCGAAGATTCCGCCCGTGGTAGCAGCAGTAGGATCACGCACCGCCAGCGGGCGTGACACAGCAGACTCTGTCTTTGACACAGCGAGAGACACGGTGGATATTGTGCCCTCCGGAACCTCCACTGAAGAAAGAGAGGTGCCTCGAGGCGCCGCCTGGTAGGGCATTGTGGTATTACCTGAGATTGGGATACTTATCTTGTCACCAGAGTTTGACCGTGCCGACTCCACAAGAGCTTCTACGAGCACATCCTCCCTTAAGGATGTGCTCTGAGCTACCACACTGCCAGTGGAAACTGGAGGAACTGTAACATCTTTTGAGTTTGATTCGGTGTTAAGGTCATGTTGAGGATTCTTCAGAGCCTTCCCCGAGTCCTTCGATTTAGCACTGTAATGTTTTGCTGAGTCTTCTTTCACTTTTGAAATACTTTTCTGTGGCTCGCTGGCGTCATCTTTCTCAGCACCGCCGCTCACCGCAACGTTTGCGAGAACACTGCCACCCAGCGTGGGTTTCCCGCCACTATTCTTCACGCCTGCCGTGCTGCCCGCTACTCCATCCTGAGGTATTGATTGGTCGGCTACGGACTGGCTGCTGGACTCTGATTGGTTCTCGAGTTTTTCATTCATTTGATCTGTTTTCCCATTGGTTGCATCAAAAGCAGTATTTTGTTGTGTCTCTTTTGAATGATTGCTGGAGTTGGACTGACCAGGTTGTGACTCTACTTGTTGACTCAAAGAAGAGCTTGATCTGGGCGACTGACCTGTGGCATATATGAAATTTTCCTCTGCTGTTATGGCAACGAGAGATCGACTTCTTACAATGCCAGAAATATTTGCATTTGAATCTTCAGTATTTTCTTCCCCCTTGTCCGAAGTTGAAATTTTCGACCGTGAAGACTTAATTTCCTGAACATTCTGGCTGTCTTTGTCACTCGCGTCATCAGGCCGAGGAGTGATCAACTTGGGAGTTTGTAGCCTCGGAACTCCATGTTCAAAAGACAACGGAATATCTACAGTAAAAACTTCAGAATTTGGCAGAATCTGAGGTTCTGACTGACCGCCAGCAATTAGATTTTCCGACGTCTTACTTCTTTCTACCAACCGACTTTCACTTGAGGCCTCAGCTTCGGGAATTACAGAAGGATTTTCTGGAGAAGACTTTTCTTTTTCCTTATTTTCTTCACTCTCATTTGTGCTCTCTTCTGTTATCCTGAATGGATCAGGGATCTTAGTGATATCCTTTGGGTCATTCTTCCTGTGTAGTTGAACGGGGTCTTTCTGATTTTCCAGTCGCGATGCCATGGACCTGGTAGTGTAGCGAGTCATTTTGGTGGGTCTAGACAGATCTGCTGAAGACGGGAACTGTATATCTCTATTCATGAATCTTTTTGCTGAAATGATCATTGACCCAGGCATCCTGGAAGAGGCATCAGAATGTAGAGGTTTAGAGGATTCTGTAGCTAATTGGGCAGTTATTTCAGTGTTTTCATCTACAGTTTCCAGACCGGTTATGTTGTCATCATTGAGATCAGGAGCTCGATCTCTCGAGCTTTGTCTACTTGCTGCGCCAGACCTCGAGGGCCTCTCTCTAGAACTGGACCGACTGGTGGCACTTGCAGCCGAGCTCTATCTCTAGAGCTGGACTTACTGGTGGCACTTACAGCCGAGGCTCTATCTTTAGAGCTGGACCTACTGGTGGTGCTCAAGGCTGAAGCTCTCTCTCTTGAGGCTGCCCTGCTAACAGCACTAGCCCTTGAGGGTCTCTCTCTAGAGCTTGATTTACTAGTAGCACTCAAAGATGACGTTCTCTCTCTGGAGTTCGATCTACTTGTACTGTCAGATTTTAAAGATTTTTGTCTAGATGTTGGTCTGCTTGTGAATTCGGATACTGAACCTCGGTCTCTCGAACCAGGTCTGCTAACACAAGTTCTCTCCTGGGAGTCAGTTCTAGCAGCACGTGGCGCCGAGGTTCTGTCTCTGGATTCTGATCTACTAGCGCTTTTTGATCCTGGAGTTCTGCCTCTCGAGCTGGACCTACTGGCGACGTCCGACCTTGAATTTCTCTCACCTGATCCGGGTCTCTTATCTGCCCCAAACTTTGAAGTCCCAAATCTAGATCCAGGTCTGCTATCGGTTTCAAGATTCAAAGACTCCTCACCAGAAATGGGTGTACTGACGGTCTGAGAATCACCAACTCTTACAGTACCAGACCTTGAAGACCAAGTTCCTGGTCTGGTCGGGCCGCTGCTTTGTTCTTCGGCGTTCTTCTTGACGAGATTTTTATTCTTCGTGGCCAGATCAACTACCTCCGCCATCGAAGTCGAGACAGCCACGTAAATGTCGTCTTGAACGGAGGGCTCAAGGCTGTGGTCTGGGGTGTTCCCAGGGTCATGGTAACCATAAGTTGTTACCTGCTTGATGGTAGCACCGTGGATCATGCCCCCGCTATGGTCGCTGTCACCATCCTGGTGGTGGCCCTCCAGAAGTGCCACACTGGAGGCCTTGGCCTTCACCGCCCCTCCACCAGCTCTAGAAAGACGAGAACTAGACGAGTAAAACTAGGTACTGTCTCGCGATTAACTGAAGGAGGATCGAACCTCCAATATTCCTTGCACTGAATGACCAACATTGGTTTAACATTGAATAATAATAATAATAATAATAATAATAATAATAATAATAATAATAATAATAATAATAATAATAATAATTTAGAAAAAAATATAATTAGCAGAAGTGTCAAATTTGAGTATTTTTATTCCTTTTTTTGTATCTATATCTAAAACTTTCTTTCGGACTGTTGAAATAATTACAAATTACTTATGCCTTTTTTTTTTTTAAGTTACGGTCCTCCCAAATAAACTTGTATTAAGAGGCCAAGATTTTGATTTAATAAAAGTGGGATCCCTGGATAACCCTTTTGGGTTATTCTGGGTAATCTACACTTATGCTGTTATGTATGATAATTTATGTAACTGTATTTGTATGTATATCTGTACCTGTACAAACTTAGTTAATATTATAAACACGAGAATTACATAATCTGAAACTTTTGCAAATTTTTATAGTAAATTATGTAGAATTTAATCTGGTATAACCCAATGGGTTCAAACACTCCAGAATTTCTGCACAGGATGGTGCTTGGGGTGACTGTCTGGCTGGAAGGGGCCTCAGGAGACCCAAATCTTTATTTACTAAAAAGTACATGTACAAGGTATACAGACCATAGCTGACATCAATGACATATTACTATATAGAAAGCTCCTTGTTATGCAGAACATTTCCCTCAACATGACTCACGAAATCGTAATAACACGATTGCAAATAAACCATACCACGGGCGGGGATAGAACCCGCGATCTGAGAGTCTCAAAACTCCAGACCGTCGCGGTCCAGTGGCTAACGCGACGGTCTGGAGTTTTGAGACTCTCAGATCGCGGGTTCTATCCCTGCCCGTGGTATGGTTTCATTTCCCTCAAATTAGGTCACTTTTTGTTCCCGGGATGCGACCCACACCAGTCGACTAGCACCCAGGTACCCATTTTGTTGATGGGGAACACAGACAACTTGTGCAAGGAAACACGGCCAATGTTTCTAGCCTCGCCAGGAATCGAACACTCAGAGTGTTAGTTAGTTAGTTACCATTTTGTCCTAGGCACATGTCGATTAGACACTAGGCCTGTTGTATATACGTACATGTGTGTGCGTGTATGTGTGTGTGTATGTGTGTGTGTGTATGTGTGTGTGTGTATGTGTGTATGTGTGTGCATGTATGAAGCGAGAGCTCTGCCTACCAGGCTACGAGCCCCTAATTTAGTTTCATTCGGGAGGATTTTGGGACTGAGGAATTTTTAGAGGCTGAAGCCCTCCAAGTCCCAGCTCAACCCTGGTGCCGCCACTATATGTACTTGTTTTCTAAGTAAAATCTTGCTGCTGCTTCTTATTATCAGTTATTAAGAAAAAACATTAGTCACTCCATTCTTGAGGTTCGTTTTCTACAAATAATTTCTGTCAGAGAAAACGATTTCTAGGGGTAGCTATTTTATCTGACTTACAACAGAATCATTCAGCATAATTCATTCTCATATTTACACCAATAAAACCATTGTAAAACCTAAATTCGACGCATCCAATAGTATATCACGCCAGCACCTCCCAGCAGAATCTAGTTCCACTCACATGTTACAGTAGAAGTGATATGTTTCACGGGGTAAATGTCAAGGTTGAGCGGTGGAAATGACAAAGTAAGAAGCATTGTATCACACCCGGGTATTAGAACATAAGTGAAGTGGCTGAATGTCGTGTGTGAGAACAGTGAATCATCGGAGGCTCGGAGCAGCGGGGCGTTGTGGGACTAAGAAGGATCACCTCCTCCACACAAGAGCTTCGGATCCCCTGTAATGTTATTCCGTGCAATAAGATTGTATTTAAAAAAAAGATGTGTTATGATTACATTTGTTAAATTAGAAAAAAGGCACAATACCGTGACTGGAACGATACACAAATAACTCGCACATAGAAGAGAGGAACTTACCACGACGTTTCGGTCCGACTTGAACCATTTACAAAGTCGGACCGAAAACTCTTGCGGTTTATTTGTGTATTACATTTGCTAGCTTTCAGATGAAGAAAAATATTTTATTCGGAGAGATATTAACTTCTGATAACCGCAAAAAGTTAACCAATACTTTATTAAGTTAACGTCTCGTTGAAATACACGAATTGTTTTATTTTGTGGCTGACCAGCCACAAACTCCAGTGGTGGGTCAGATTAGATTTAGATTTTGCCACCGAAGTGGCTAGTTTATTGTGCACCCCATATCCATCCTGTGGACGGTAGCGCGAGAGCATATGGATACACAAAAGGCCTAGGAACTAGGCCCCAAAGGGTTAACAGGAATACATATGGATTTATATCTACATATCTATAGTTCACTTATCTGTTACAAGCAAATTTAGGAAATTTGCTTAGTATATCTGGTATCTTATTTTCATTAATAAGATATCTTGACATGTCACATAGGTTATTATACTGTCTGTCTCTGTATTCCTCAATGAGTGGACAATTAAGCACATAGTGTTCAAGAGAGTGACCATATGTCTGATCACATAATTTACATTTAGTTTGATCATCATCTGTGTGTCTCCCAAACTGCCAGAAGTACTTGTAACCAAGCCTAAGCCTGGCCACTACAACATCAGTCAGTCTGTTCACATTGCAAGTTGCTCCATAACATACTTATCTACGTTCATGTTATCATAGTGGGTTATAGATCTACTCAGGCTTCTAACTGCATTCCTATAACAATCATTTTCATTATTTACTTCTCTCCTAATATTATTCCTAATGCTAGACACAGTTATACCAAAGTTATATTCTACATTCTCCTTCTGGGTACTCTTCTTGGCTAACATATCAACTTTATCATGAAGGAGTAATCCAATGTGTGATGGGATCCATAGCAATTGTACATTAATTCCTTTGTCCCTAATTTTTGAGTATCTATACCTGGCTTCTCCAATGAGCATGTTGTTGGAGTCATTATATGAGTCAAGAGCCTTCAATGATGACATAGAATCAGTAATGATGATAGAGTCAAGCTCAGTGTCATAGGTTAGCTTTAGCGCCATTAGGATTGCAAACAATTCAGTTTGCAGTGTAGACGCCCAGTTGTTAATTCTTATGCCTAACTCAACAAATTTATTATCGTTCTTAACTAGGGAGGTGGCAACAAGAGCAGATGCAGCCCTGCCAGAAGACTCCTGTTTAGATCCATCAGTGTATATAACTTGTGATAACTTGTTACTACCAGCTAGGTGAGAAATTTCTTCTTGAGCAGTTGCTCTAACAAGAGATTTAAGGAAGGGATTACTAGCAATGAGCTTCTTGGGAGGGACTTGTAGGTATGTGATATTAAATGAACACATCTTCCATGGAGGGGTGAAATGCTCTTGTTGCCTACAGTGATACAATTCATGCAGGTTATAAAACTTAATGCAATTGCACGTTTTCACAATCCATTTAGATCTGTGTGTATTTACCTCTAGACACTTGGTAAGATTCACTGTGACAGTGTCTGGTTCGTTTCTCAACATTCTAATACTGAGTACAGTGTTAATTTCAACAATCCTATCACTGATACTAGAAATACCAAGCTCCTTCCTCATGTTAAGAACTTTTGTAGATCTGGGACAGCCAAGAATAATCCTGAGAGCTTCATTTTGCATTAACTCCAAGGGTCGGAGAGAACTTTCTCTAGCTAATATCAACATGGGAGCAGTGGTGGGTCAGCGTGTGACCCGATTCAGGAAATTTGTCCTGTTTCCTGACGAATCTTACCTAAACTAACGTGACTTTTAGCAAAATGTCCACAGACTGCAAGGTCAGGCGTAAACCTTATTATTTTGTCAACACAATCCCTGTTGATTTCCACAGAAATGTATAACCTGTCCATTTTCCCCCTTTTCTCTAATGTATTTTACGTAGGAATTCCTTGCATGCATACTGCTTGTGGGTAACAAGGGCCCATAACGGCACCCTCACAACTTTCACCTCTGTTAACACCTGACTAAAGGTACAAGACCCAGGGTTATTCTCCTTGCATAAATTGCATCGAAGAAACACCCTCAAGTGGTCTTAAAATACAGGTTATTCTTCTTTATTCTTGAATGTCTGGTTGAATGTCAAAAGTTGATGTGAACAGGTGGGTGTGGTATACTGCAATGCCTGTCTTAAGTGCCTATTAAGTATTCTGCAGGTTCCATAAGGGAACCTGCAAAAAGGTGCATATGTATTGTTAGTGTATGTATTTTTAGTGTATATGCACCGCTATGTGTGTATCTCTGTGTAGGTATACTAAGAGTTTACCTTAAGAAATATTTTTATTTTTAAAAAATACTGTTTATGTTAGCACACAGGGAGTCATCAGCTTTACTGATCCACCTACAAGATACATGCCATTGAAACTAAGCCTTCCCTCGCACAATGCAACAAGTGTCAGAAAACCAAACAGATTAAAGTGGGAAATAAGTGCCCCGTCTCACGTACGAACTTATTAGTGCCTCATGCGGGTGCCTGCATCCATTGCCTGCATAAATCACTAGAGGTAAGCGTCGTATAAGTGCCCGAGTGGCAGCGTGAGTGTGACAGGTTGACCTGTGGTAATACGAGGGGGTCTGTGTCACGGCACTCACGTCCAGTCTCCCACCCCTGGGTCTCACACAACACCGAGTTATTACTGTCTAACACGACATTATGAGTACCACCACCATCATCATCCTCACCACCAACGTAACACTCTTACCCTCAACCCCCATCTCCCCCATTATCTATCAATTCCTCCACTGTTAACTCAACCCCCTCACCATGTCTATTATCGAAATCACTCTCATCCATTAACGTGTTTACCACCAAGTTCAGTTTCCTTTCTGCCTCAATCTCCACTTCCACCATCACCTCCGCCACCACTGCCACTACCTCCATCACCGCCACAATCATCACGGCCGCCCACCACATGAATTT